GGTAGGTATTCAGAGTTATTTTCTTCTACAATCCTATCTGCTTCAGCTTTAATAAAATTGTAAGGATTATTAAAATATACTTGACCGTTATCTAATTCTAAATTGTGATTATCTAAAGAAGAGTTTTTAGTTTCTTGGAGAGGAGTTTCAATAGTATTAGACTAAGATGATTGGGGTTGAAGTTGGCTAATTTCAGATTCTGTATTTATATTTGATAGTTCTTCTGATATCCCTTCTATATTTGTAAAGGTATTTGAAGTGTTCCTTCTTCTATTAGATTGTAAAGAAAAGGTGTAAGATTTTCTGTCTCTAAGTTAATATGTCTATTAGGATTAAGAATTATCCAATTTCTGACTAGTACTATATTTCCTTGAAGTAGTTACAGTTAATTCTTCTTATAATGAATAATTGTTAAGTTTAATTGAAGATTGTGTTCATGTAACAAATAGAGAGAGATTATTTGTAAAGCAATTAGTATCTATAAATACTGAAATTAATTGAGTAATCGGGAGTAATTCAGTTATAGTAGAGCTATATTTGTAACTTCAAGTTAAAACACTAATCTGAGCAATAAGAGTTCTAAAAAGATCACAATCGTTTGAATGTAAATTAAACTTAAAAACAGTTTGACTAATAATAATAAAAGATTAAAAATAAGGTTAATGTATCTAAATAATTTGAATTGGATGCAATACTAATTCCATAAGTTTTCAAAATTCTCAGGTTCTAGGATATAAAGAGGATAATAAATCAAACAAGATAAATCTCTTTCAAGAAGTTCCTTTGGGTCGATCTCTGATCTGTAACTGAGGTCATGTAATTGGTTCTCTTGTCTAAACTTGTTTAAATTCACAATTCTTAACTTTTCTCAAAAGTTTTTATTTTCTAGTAGGAATCACCAAATTGTCATTAGGTTCATTTTCATTTATCTTAACGTCTAAGTTGAAAGGCTGCAGCAGTTGATTCTACACGTTGGAATTTTTGACTTTAAGATTTTCTCTAAGTCCTACAGATATCCTTTATACTTAAATCAACTCAATAATTTATCACGTCTTAGAATTTAAGATATATTAGTCGAACTTATAATGATAAACTCAATAGCAAATTAGTGTAGTATATCATAATAATTTTAGGTAAAAGACAATGTTGAAGAGAAAGTAAATTTGTATAGATTTAAATTGATTCCTTTATTATAATACTAAAACTCGTAAGTAACTTACAAATGAGTTAATTTACAACTTAAGCAAAAGGCTATTTTATTTATACAAAATAAATTTGCTATAGCTAACTACTTGTTACACTATAAATTAATTAAATATAGATATATGTTTTATTAAATTAAAAATATACTTTAAACGTAATAAAATAATAAAAATAATATAAATTATAAAAATAATAAAAAGAAATAAAATAAATTACAGACATTAAAAGAAATACAGGTAAAACAGAATAAATAGAATAAACAGACTGTACAGAAAATACAAAAGAAATGGACGAGTTAGAAATTACTGTTAATCACTACTTGGTATAGCAGTAACATCATCTAACGTGAGATCATCATTGATTGGCAAATCTCACATGATATTTAAAGTTGTTATTTCTTCTGTTGACAATATGTAAAAGCTAAAATTAATAAATCTGAAATACATATCTTAACAGTATTGCTACTATTTTTATTAAATCTGTTAGAGTCATTTGCAATTACCAATTACTCTAGCCTTTGAACTTATTATTAATAAAGATTTATTATTATAAGGTATCATAAATTAACGCTAATATTTTCTAACTAGCTTATATAATATATTAGAATACTAATAAGTTAAAGATTCTTTTTAATGAAAAGAATTATATCATCCTAGTGACTATACATAAGATCAAGAATAAGTTTAAAGTAAATTACGTGAATATTATTCTCAAATGTGATAATTTCATAATTCTAGAGAAAACTTTTCAAGGCTTAAGTAAGAATAATGATATATTAAAAAATGCATAAGTTATAAGGAACTTAAAAAAAGATTATATGATACTTTTAAGTTTAAAGCTAAATTAATTAAGATTAATAAAAACTTTTAATTTTTTTTTCTTATTTATTATATATTCTAGCTTAGTGAAGTATTTTTTTGCTGAATATAATTAAAAAAGCTAAAAGATACTATATCATAAGTTGCAAATTAAATGCTTTTTTGATTTATGTATAAATTTCTCTGATTCTAAATAATTTGTTTCAATCAAAATAATTAGATTATATAAGATATCTAATGAGAAATTTTAGTAGAGCCCTTGGTTAAAATCTCAGATAAGTCAAAACTTCAAATAAATTTGAACTTTTGTATTTTTTTTTGCTTTTCTTCTTAGAAAAAAATATTCATTTTATGACTTTTCAAATAATCATTTTTTGAAATAAGAACTAATAAAATAGAATGATCTTTCCTAACCTTCTCAAAGAAGTAATTTTCATTCTGCTGTAAATGCTTATAATTGTTCTATATATCATAAACACAATTTTTATTAATATGACATTTTCTCACTATTATATATGTAGAAATCTAATTCTTGAGATATTTAATCTCTTTAATTTATTCAGAAGTTAAAATTATAACATCTTGCTAATAATGAGTTTTAAAAAATAATGTAATTATAATTCCTCTAATATTTTTTACTTTTAAAAAGATAAAAATATTAGAAATCAATATTTATTATTTTAAATATATAAAAATTGTTAAAAATTATCAACTGATTCTTATCTTTCTAAAAACTTGGAATTTGATATTAATACTGAAGGATTAAATTTAGGATTAAATAAACAAGAATATAAATCTTTATCGAATAAAGATCGTGAAGATTTACTTGAATATAAAGTAAGTAACCCTTACTTAGTTGTATCTGTTTAGTTGACGCTGCTACTAGGAATGATTTAGAGTATTTGGGTAACCCCCAAGTATAATAAATCGATAATTACATTTTGACAGTGATAACATTTGAGCGTAACACGACGATGTAATTAAATTCTGAAAGTAGTTGAGTAACCCTCAATTATTGTAGTGAATAAACATTTGACTAATAAAATAAATTCAAAAATGTAGGTACAACAAGAATTGGGGAGTTTAGAAGTAAATGCATATATAGTAAAAACTGGATATAAAGATTTGAAAAATGGTGCATGGGTCCCAACTGGAGACGGGAGAATTGATTTATTTGGTCATCATAAATTATTTAATTTTATTATTCAATGTAAAAATTATAATAAAAAAGTTGAACCAAAAGAAGTACGAGAATTTATAGGTACAATAAATGATGCTGGTAAAGATGTAGTAGGAATTTTTGTTTCTAATAAATTAGGATTTAGTTCAAAAGCAATACATCAGGCAATAAATTCAAAAGTAAAAATATATTTAGTTTTATTTGAAGATTTTAAAAATGAATGGGAAAAAATTATAAAAAGAGAACAAAATATTATTAATAATGATGGTTATTATGAATTTGAGAAGATTGAAAATGATGATCTTAAAAATATTAATTTATTTAATGGTATTGTAAAAATAGAATCGTGTTCAAAAATGATTTTATATTTAAGGAAAAGATAATTTATTTATAATTTTTTTGTTTTTAATTTTATTTATTTAATGTTATTTTTATATAATTAAATTAATTAAATGGGAAATTTAAATTTTTTACCTGCTACTATTACTGAAAATGAATCAGAATTATTTTTTGATGGAATATTGATTGAAAAAGACGATAAAGAACATTTGATAAATAAATATTGTATATCTGATTTAAAGAAAATAAATAATTTACTCTTTTTTAAGAGTAATATTGATTTAGGAGACAAGAAATATTATCAAATAATATTATTTAAAAAATTGGTAGATGTTGATGGTGAAAGTTTTAATATTCCTAAAGTCAGTTTTAATGTTTTATTAAACAAAGAAAGTAAAAAATTTTATAAAAATTATTTATTTGATAATACATTTACAAACGTTATTTATGAAATAATGAAATTGTCTAATTTATCATATATTAAAATTATATCACCAAATATCGAACTAATGACATATACATATACTTTGTTTAGAAATGACGAAAAAGAAAACATATTTAATGTTATTAGTAATTTTGAATTAAATAGTTTATAAGGTTTGACGAAAAAATGAGTTGATTTTTTTAATTTAAGTTAGCTAAATTAGGAAATTTTTATAATATTTTTTAATTGTATATATAAACTGTGATTTGATAGACGAAAATAAATTTTAATAAAATAAATCAATCAATTTAAAATGAAATTTACAAAATGTTATGTTTTTTATCTAACAATTGATTATCTAAAGAAAAATATTTCAAAAAGTAATAAAGAAATACATTACAAACAAACACAATTATCAAAAGACCAGGTCTATTGTATTGATAAAGTTAAACTTGCAGAAAAATTTGAAGAAGAAATATCAAGTTTATTTGAGATTTTTTTAAAAATACGATTAATATCAAAATATTTTTATAAAGAAATTTATAAAGTAATTGGTGAATGGTATATCAAAGTATATTTTGATAATATAACAAGAAATGGATATACCTATAATAAAGTTATGAAATCTTCTTCTTCGATGAATATTTGGTCAAAAGATATAAGATTAAAGAATTTATGGAGAAATTTTGAGAGAATTAAAATTGAGATATTTAATGAAAATCAAAAAGAAATGTTAGAATTAGTAAAATCATGTATTCAATTACCAAGTGGGTTAGTAATTAGACAAACGATTGAAATTATTGAACCTGAAATTGAAATTATTTATAATGAATATGGGATTGAATATCATCTTTATCGGAGTAAAATACAATTCAAATTAATTTCGAAAATTAAAATTAATTGAAAGTATGTTAGTATTTTTTTCATTATAACTATGTATGTATTTATTAGGAAATATTCAATAAATTTTTAATATTTTTTTTAAATCATTATTTAAATCTAAAACATATATTTATTATTTATTTTTTTTTTACAAATGTCGTCGTTAGATTTTAATGTTGAGGAAGTTCAAAATTATTTTACTGACGATTTGTTTTCATCAAATTCCTATTTTTTTCTTGAAGACACAAATGATCTATTTAATTTTGATTTTGAAGACAAAATAGTCGATAATAATAAAGATATTTTAGTTGATAAAACGATTGGTAGTAAATCAATTGATGATGTAATAAATAAATATTATAATTCATGTGATAACAAGTTAATAAAGGATATTTTTATTGGGTATGAAGAAACTAAAAATGAAGAAAAAGATGAACCAATTAACGAGGAACAAGATTTTATAAATGTGTATCATTTTTTTAAAGATTATATTTGTGATCAATTAACTGATGATCTAAGTGATTTGTTTTCCAAATTAAATAATATTCTGAAACAAAAGAAGTATGGAAAATCGAATGATAAGAAAGAATATAAAAAAATAGATACACATTTTCTTGCTGTTTCACTAAAATTTTATTTAGAAGATAAATTAAGTAAAGTTGAGAAGATAATCGAAAAATATGATATAAACAATTTGACAATCAAATATAAGGGATATAGTAATAAATTACATATTTTAACAAGAAGATTAGAAAGATTCAAAAAATAGGGGGTCTTACGGAAAGATGCGATATTAGAATATAAATCAAAAATTAAGAATAGGAAGTATCGGTTGAATTTAGAAACAAAAAGGAGGAAGGAAGATTTTAATTGGAGAAAATCGAATAACAGAGCGCGTTGGTTTTGTAAAGATCATCAAAAATGTAACTGTGCAAAATATCGACCATATTGAATTGGTTTAGATTTAAAATTATTTATAATAAAAAAAAAACTGGTTTTTTTTTATTTATAGATTAGATTTTTGTTTGTAAATATTACAAAATTGAAATAAATATTACATTATAAATATTATTTGATACAAATAAATATTTAGAATTATGGGTATATATTTAACTGAAAGTAAAATCGAAATTCAAAAATTCTCAATTTATTAAATCAATTAAAAATCAAAATTTTAATTTTATTAAATCAATTAAAAATGAAATTTAAAATTTTTAAATATACATTTAATTTTGATTTTTATATTCAAAAAAAAAATCATAGTTGGGATAATTGTTCTCAATTTTCAGAAATTAATTTCAATTATAATTTACCATTTCCATCACAATCTTCTTCGTTTAATATTAAAATACAAGATATTGAATATATTGAAGATTTAAGTCTTTATATTGATAAAATTAATGAAATATTATCAAAACCTAATGCATTTAAAATGTATTTTTCATTTTTTATTGCCCATATGGATTCATATGGAAATATTCTTAAAAATATTCAGAAATATCATTTTGATTGTATTGAATTAGCAAATTGGCGTAAAAATTAATACGAAGAAGATTTTATATTTTCAATTCAACAATTGAATAAATTTACAATTGAAAATAATTTTATTTTTTTATATGATTTTAAATCGATTTTAACTTATATAGATAAAATTTTTTAAATATATATTATTATTTATTTAGCGATAGTTATAATATTTATTATCATTTTATTTTTCGATAAGTTGTATTTGTTTGTTTTAACCGATAATTATAAATAAATTTATATAATATTATTTATTTTAGTAAGTAAAATGACTGAACGAAATGATTCATGTGAATGTAAAGAAAATTTTTATTGTTTTTTGTGTAAATTTAAAGAATTTGAACAATTAAAAAATTGTTCAGATTTACAACTTCAAAATAAATTTGAAGAATTAAATAAAAGATTAGATGATTTAATCGATCCTTTAGAGAAAGGAATAAAAGAAAATATTAAAGAAATAAATAAATTAAAAGATCATTTCGCAAATTTAGTAAATATTCGTCAATGTTATACAGATGAATTATGTAAACGTAAAATTGAATTTATTTCAAAATATGATCGTGTGAATGAAAAGGTATCGAATCAATTTAATAAGTTTGTTTAAGAAAAAAAGTAAATGTAAAAAAGATAATTTAGAAATTTTTTTATTTTTTTTTGTAATTTGATATAAATGTTTAAAATACAATTTTTTAATCAACCCAATTTATAAAATTTAATTATTATAAAAAATGGTATTTTATTGTATCGGAAGACGTATTCTCTATTGTAATGATGGAAAATTTTCTTCGACTGGTTTAATTATTACAATTGTAATTATTTCTCTTTTAATTTTCTTAGTTTCATATGTTACTAAATGTTGTGGATTTTATGAAACATATCAAGATAAAATTGATGATTTAAAATCAAAATTTTATATATACAAGTCTACTCATAATATCATACTTGACTCAACTAAAGAAATTAAAGAGATGGTTATCGATGAATTACCTGGTTATGATCAAGTAGTTAGTACTTATAATAATTTTATTGAAGAATTTTTTAATTTTTATAAGTTTGAACAAGAAAAAAGAACTATTTTTAAAGAAAATATAGAATTTATCACGTCAGATGAATTCCAATTATTGGATAATAAAATTATTAAAATTCCTACGACTGAAATTTATATGATTGAAATTTCTTGAATATAAAATTGATTTAAAAAAAATTGAGAAATGTAGTACAAATTATTAATTTAGTAAATTTTTATTTTTTTTTGTATTTGTTATTTATTAAATGATTTAATTTCAATTTAAAAAATCTATTCAAATTTTTATTTTAATAATTATAATAAAAATGAAAACTTCAATTAAAAAAAAATTTCGTTTTAATCCAATTAAATATGATTTTGAGGAAGAAAAAGAAAAACATATATCATTTAAGGTAAGCTTTATGGACATAAGCTTTGTGGGTTAGTTACCCTTTATTGAGTATTTAGGTTGATAAGGCAAGCTCTCTATTACCTCTACTCCTAACGTCAAAGTCAGATAAGCTGGGGTGGTGCTCAGTGAATGAATTATTAAATAATGAGTCGTTAGAGGAGTTATTTAATACTTTATTCCTTCCGTTAGCGTTAGAGAGTTTGAATAATAAGTCGTTAGAGGAGTTATTCAAATTCTTTGAGATACTGGCCGCCAATAAGTCCAGTTTAGTAATGGATGGGTGGGATAACAAATCAGATGAGGAGTTATTCATATGTATATGATATCGTTACTCATTAAATATTTATTTTATTTTAGCCCTTTACATCTAAACAATTAGGTGATATATTTGAATTAAAATGTATAGAATTATTATCTGATAAAATGATAAATTCTTATGGAATTAAAACAGGATATAGTCAATATAAAGAAAATAATGAATTTGATAAATATGTAATAACAGGTGATGGTGGTATAGATATACGAGGAAAACATAAATTTTTTAATTTAATTTGTCAATGTAAATTTAAATCTTCAAATGGAGTTTCAGTTAATGAATTAAGAGATTTTATTGGAGCATTAAGTAACAAATCAGATAAAACTGTAGCGATTTTTATTACAAATTCGTATTATTCTAATAAAACAAAAATTTTGAGTGAAAGTTCAAAATTAAAAGTATATTTAACAACAACCAACGAAAATGATGATAATTATATTTTAAATATAATAGATGAAATTATTAAAGAAAAAAAGGAAGAGATAGAAATAAATAAAATTAGAGAAATTAAAAGAGAAATAATTATTACAATTGGAAAATTTAAAGGTGAAATTTACGATAATGGTGGTAATGAGATCATAAAAGGAGAATTTGAAAATATTGAATTAAATATTTAATAAGAAAAGTTGTTAAAAATTAAATTTTATTAAATTTATTAATAACCAATTAAATTATTTTATTTTATATTTTTTTTTATTTTTAATTTTAAATAAAGTATAATTTTATTAAATTTAATCAATTATAACATTGTCAAAATGAATAAAAAATTTCAATATAATCTAATAATTTCAATTTTTTTTAATATTTAAATGAATATTACACTTCGGATCAATTTCAATTATTGGATAATAAAATTATTAAAATTTCTACGACTGATTGAAATTTCTTAAATTCGATGATTTTTTTTAGTAAGATCATCAAAAATGTAATTATGTAAAATATTGACCATATTAGTGGTTCATGATTTAAATTACTTATTAAGGATTAGATTTTCTTTTATTTATTATTTATGAGAAATATGTGATCTATTTAGTACAAATTAGTAATTTATTTTTTTATTTATTTTTTTGTAAATTGTAATACGAAATAAATTTAGTAAATTTTTAGTTATTATTATAAATATATCTATTTAATAAATGATTTAATTTCAATTAAAAAATCCAAATAAATAAAATGACTAATTCTGAAGAATTTAGTTTTATTGAAACAAATAAATCTGAAGAAATTATTTTTGCTGAAACAAATCAGATTATACCACCTCAAGTTCAAAAATCTGAAGCAAATATGATTCAATATAAAGTGTTTAAAAATTATTATAAAACTAATAATAATACTATTGACAAAAAAAAACACATAGCACTTGGAAATCTTGGAAAAAGTTTAATTAAAACTCAATTTGAAAAAATTCAAAAAATTAAGCGTCATAAAGTAAAGATTGATTCACCTGATATTATAGCGTCTAAAGTAGATTATTAAACAGTGATTGATTATTATATTAAATCTAAAAAATTTAAGTTAGCTGAAAAGTATATCAATCTTTATTTTAAATCAACTAATGATGGTGATGAAAAATATGAAGCAGCGAAACAAATGATTTTTTGTGATGAAGAGAAATGTAAAAAATTAATGATCGAGAATTTTGAAATTCATTCACATTTAAATTCGATGATTTTTTTAATTGAAACTTTAAAAGATAATACAATTTTAGATGAATTAAATAATATTGTAAAAAAAGATGATGTTAAAGATGGTTATTATAATTATTTATTATATTTATATTATATTTATAAAGCTGATGATTTTGAACAAGCATTTAATAATTTAGAAAGAGCAGTTGAATTGAATTATTTACCTGCAAAATGGGTTTATTTTAATATTATGGATAAAGGGTATTTTGATAAAGGTGATAAATCAATGGCAGCTGAATTGAAATTAAAAATTGAAGAAGCTGGTTATATTATTGATAGAATTCATAATTCAGATCAGGATTATATTCAAAGTTCAATTGTTGATAAGATTAAAGAAACAGATAAAAAAGAAATTAAAACTTATGGAAATGGTTTTACTGAACGAATCCCAGTTATTACTCAAGATAAGTTTAATAAAAATAAAAAGTTAGATATTAGTGATGACGAAATTTATTAATAGCCAATTAAATTAGTTTTATTTTTATATTTTTTTTATTTGTTTTTAAAGTTTATTTAAATAAAGTATATTTATCAATAATCAATTAATAATTGTCAAAATGAATAAAAAATTTCAATATAATCCAATAATTTCTTTTTTTTTTACAGTTCATAAATATTTAAATGAATATTATACTGAAGCTCTTGATGATTTATTATATGAGTTAAAACGAGTTCAGTATGAAAGTAAACTTAACAATTCTTGGAAAAAAATGGATGAATGGAATGATTATAATTTATTTAATGAAGTTTGTAATTTTTGTCAATATTTAATAATTGATGGAGAAGGATGTCAATGTATTGATAATAAAGATTTAAGTAATTATGATGATGTTTGTGAAGATTGTAAACAAAATATAGATGAATGTTATTGTTTTGAAGATAAAATTAAAAAAGGAAGAGAAATTGAATATGAAAAAATTGGATGGAAGCGAATTAATTATCAAAATGATATTGAATTACATCGAGATGGTCATTTTTGTAGTAAAAATTGTCAAGATCGAATTTTTTTATGTGGTCAAGCGTATCCAGTATTAGTAAATCAAATGAAAAAATGTAGTCATACTGCAATAGTTAAAGAAGCTATTCATCATGATTGTAAAGGAGATATTAACGACGTTGTTTTTAAAAATGAAGACAGTAGATCTTTTAATTATTATCATAAAGTTAAAAATAACAAAAAAAATATAAACAGTATTTTTAAAAATAATAATATTACAATTTCAAAATGTAGAGATGGTAAATTTTGTCAAAAAGATGGGTGCAAATTTCGTCATCATTGTAAGTTTGAATCGGGTTGTAATTGGTCAGATTGTATTTTAAATCATTAAATTTTTATTTTTTTTTTTTTAAAAAAAAATGTATATTTAAATCAATTTTATTTAATAAATAAAATGATAATTTTATACCTTCAGAAACATTTATTAAAGATCTTATTAAAGATGATTATGAACCAAAATCCCGTACTCCAAATGTTAAAGAATATTATAAAGATTTAGCAAATTACTGTTCAGACTGTAAAAAAGAAAAGTTAAATGGAATTTTATAAATGAAGAAATTATTTTAAAAGATAAACAATATTATTTTATAAATAATCAAATTAATGAAGAAATTATTTTAAAAGATGATAAATCTATTATTATCAAAAATTCCTAAACCTCCTTTTCCTCCTGAAATATTTATTAATGATCTTATTAAAGATAATTATGAACTAAAATCCCGTACTCTAAATATGTTTTTTATTTATCGTAATAATTTTTTAATATACCTTAAAAGTTTAAATTATTGTTTATCTATGACTCAATTTTCATCAATTGCTTCTAATTCATGTAAAAATGAACCGGATTATGTTAAAAAACATTATAAAAATTTAGCAGATCATTGTTCAAACTATAAAAATTACCTTTTATTATTTAAAAATAATCAAACTAATGAAAACGAAGAAATTATAAATGATAAATATTATTTGTTAATGAATTTAATATTTTAAAAAATGTAAGAAATAAAATTCTGAATTTAATGAAAGAAATTGAAAGTTCAGAACAGTTTTTTTTTTTTTGAAAATATTAATTTTTATGAATTAAATAATAATTTATTAGATTATTCTTTATTAAAGTATTATAATGAATTGACGAAGCAACGGGAATTGTAGAAGATCAGATTAAAAATATTAATTATGAATTAAATAATAATTATTGTTATTCAAAAAAATAGCTGGATTTATTATTTAATTAAATTATTATTAACATATTTTTTAAAATGACTGGTATTTCACCTTTAATTATATAGTAATATTTTTAGTAAAATTTAACAATTTTGGTAATTGATCTTTGTAATTTTTGAAATGTACAGTTTCGGATTAGTTTTTGAAACTTTATTTTAATATTTTTTTATTTTATTTTTAATAAATAAATATAACGAACGAATAAATATTTTTATATTAAAAATAATTATAATTTGAAATGGAAGAATCATTATACGATTCAGAAAACGATTTTGATTATTATGATGAAAAAGATTTTGAAATTCGTAAAAAACAACTTAATGAACACTTTAATATGTGTAAATGTGATAAACAAGAATATTGTTTTATACATCATAAATTAGTATCATCATTACCTACAAAAATAATATTGATAATAATTAATGAATTATTACACCAAGAGAATTTTAAGACGATTACACATATAAGTTGTATATCTAAATTTTGGAATTGTGAAATTAAAAAAATACTAGAAGATTTTATTATTCAAATTGATTATAATTGTTTAACAATAATTTATAAAGATCGTCAAAAAACTATAAATTTTAAAATTAAAATTGATAATTTTAATAAAATACAAAATAGTCTGATTGAAAAATCAAAAAATAATAATGGATTAATAAGAAATTGGTATACTATGTGTGGAGGGATATTTCAATGGATACCGATAAAAAATAAAATAGAAAATATTTCTTATGTAAAAAAGACACAAGTAAAAATATTTAGAGCAAAATATACTTATAATAAATTTTTTTTTGATAGTTAATGATAATGAATTTTCAATAACAATAACTAATGAAGAATATAATATTAAAATTAAAGAATTAAATGGTAATGATTATATAAAAAAAATTATCAAAACATCATCTTACAATATAGAAATAGATATATTTACAACGATTGAAAAAATAACTGAATATTTTGTGTAATGTAAATATTTTCGTTTTATTTTCCAAATAAAATTAAAATAAAATTATACAATTTATGTTATGTTATGTTATAAAATTTTTAAGTTTTTTTTTTTGAATTTATATACATTTGGACGTTCGTTTTTAATCATCATACTTATCCAAATCTAATGTCATTAAAAAACAAAAATGGATATCAAAAGGTTAACAAAACCAGTTGTATTCATTGATAACAATCAGTTCAATTTTGATTTATATAATCAATCTGATCCATCTGAAAAAGATTCTCAAGTTAATTTAAGAAAAAATAGAACATATCGACGCCCAGATTATACACCAAAATTTCAAAAGATTATCAATGCTCGTCATCAACAAAAGAAATCAAAATTAAAAGAACAAAAAGAGAATTGTAAACATCGTCAAGAATTACAAAATAAAATGGCTAAAAATAGACGAGTTTTTAATTTTAATTATAGATTAAAAGAAGATTCAGCTATTTTTACTGAAGTTCTTTATGAAGAGTTAAATTTAGATTGTTTAAATAAAATAGTTGACAATTTTAGTACATTTAACGAACAAAGAGTGATAATTAAATCATTGTTAGATTCATTTATTTTTGATTATGTGAATGATTATTCAAAGGGGTATGAAGATGTAATGGAACAATTAAGGGGTAAAATTCAGAAGATAGTGTGTAAACAAGTTCCTGATTTTATATTTTATGTAACAACAATCATACGAGTTATAATAAGAAATTCGATGTATAACATGTTACAAACTTATGAGAAACAAATAATTTCACCTGATCAAATGATGATAGTTAAAGAATTACTTAACACAGATATATGGAAGCATATATCTTACCATACAATGTGTAAATATTATGCAAATGAAGTTACATTAAAAATGATTAGAGATGAATTGAAAAAGGAAATACATGCTAAATTGTGTTTACATGCATCAAATTTTTTTCTTTATGCGGATATCATTACAGATCAAATTATTAAAAATACTATTAGTTAATTTTATTATATTTTAATTTTTTTTTTTTTATTTATTATTTATTATTTTATTTATTTATATAACAAAATAAAAAATATTATTTAATCGTTATCATGATTTAGATTGGTTCTTGATGTAGAATTACATCATAATCTGAATTAGGAAATAAAATTTTTAGTTTTTTTTTGATTTTATATATATTTGGACGTTCACTCATTCAAATTCTATTAAATCAAAAATGGATATTAAAAGTTTAACAAACCTATCTGAAAAAGATTATCCATCTTTTAATCAACAATCTGATTCAGAAAAAGATTTTCTTCAAGTTAAATTAAGAAATAGAACATATCGACGCCCAGATTATGTAAAATATCAAAAGATTATTTATCAACGAAAGAAATTAAAAATGAAAAAATTAAAAGAGAAAATAGTTGAAAAGAAAATAGTTGAAAAAATATTCGAAAAGAAAATGGCTGAAAATAGTTTAGATGATATTGCTGAAATTATTTATGAAAAGTCAAATTTAGATGATTTAAAAAGAATGCTCGATGATTTTGGTATTTTCAACGAACAAAGAAAGATAGTTGAATCATTGTTAGATTCGTTTATTTCTGAGCATGTGAATGATTATTCAATAGGATACAAAGATGTAATGAAACAATTAGGGGGTAAAATTCAGGAGATGGTATTACAATATGCTCCAAATTTTATATTATTTGAAACAATAATAATGGAGGTTATATTAAAAAATTCGATGTATAACCTGTTACAAATTCATGAGAACCAACCATTTGAAAGCACACAAAAAATGGTAGTTGAAGAAATGCTTGATGCAATTATATGGGATTATCTAGATAAAGATATAGTTTATGAATATCTTTCGGGTCAAGCTACACCAAAAATGATTAAGATTGAATTGGGAAATAAAATATGGACTGAGTTACATTCATATGCATCTGATTTTCTTTTATATATTGATATCATTGTACAACAAATCATCAATACTTTACGTTTCTAGTTGATTGCAGTGTGTAAAATCTGAAATAAAAATCATGTGCAATTTGTGCACATGATGCGCAGTAAAAGAGTGCGCATCAAATTTTTAATGTGCGCGATAAATTTTAAAAATTTTATGTGCAGATAATGTACTTTAATGAAA